CTTTTGGACCAAGTTGTTTTGGTCCATGATACTTTCAATAGCCAGTAGGTTACTCTTGGATCTTTTTTTGACAGGTTGTTGTGATTTACGTTGTTGTATTTTTGTCCCGAAGTTCGGCTATTTTTCGCCCGTCATCTGGGAAATTTGGTTGACGGTGAAATGATGATCAACAAACACAGCTCATTGGGTAGTGTCCTATCTGAAATCTGTTCGTATAAGGATTCAGTGTTGAAAATTTGAAGTGAATCCATTGATTTGTACCCAAGTTATGCTCGATGAAGCTCGTTTGAGTCTGAAAAAAGGTCGCGAAACCAGTCTGCCACCTTAACACGAGCGATTGTGGGGGAGAAACTGTCTTAGCGTCATACTATTCATAGGGAATCGACTGCCCAGAGCCAGTTTGTGCTGCGAAGATGGCGGTAAACATTCGTTTTGAATGATTGCATTCTCTTGCTGTGGGGAGGCTGGGATAGGAGAGCGGCAGGGAGGGAGTTCCAATCGCTGATGCTGCAGTGTGGGAACGAGCGCTTCAGTGCCAGCGGGGCAGATGCAGGCAGCTGGTGTTGGAGCTGGTGGTCATGGCCACTGACAGCACCGTGCTCGCTGCGAGTTCTGGGGTTGGTAGAGATGATGTGGCGCGGTGGCAACACAGAGAGCAGCTGCGGAGGACCAGGCAAGTAGTGCAGCTTGTACAGGCAGGCAAGCGAGGCAACAGTGCGGCGGATGGCCAGGCTGGGTAGGTGTGCCCCAGGGCCGATAGCATGAAGCGCGCGGCGCTGAACATTGTTCAGACGCTGGAGGTGGCTCTGCGCAGCTCCCATCCATACAAGAGGCGCATACTCCATGACTGGTCGTACGAACGCCTTGTATACGGTCGTCCGGCCGGCGGGGGTGAGTATGTGGGCGGCTCTGTTTAGGACCCCAAGCCGTTGGCGTGCACGGGTGGCTACGGAGCGTAGGTGATCGCTGAAGGTCAACTTGGCGTCCACCTTCACACCAAGGAGGGTGATGGTGGTTGTCTCGGGCACCAGTGTGCCACCAAACAGGAGTGGGGGGAGATCTAAGCCGGTGCGTCTGAGGGTGGCTGTCATGGCCTGGGATTTGGTCGGTTCAAACATCACTTTCCATGTATGACCCCACTCGTGCAGTCGGTCAACGGACACCTGCAGTGACTGCGCGGCGACTGTTGGGGTCTGCTGGGAGGTGACTAAGCTGTACAAAGTTGTATCATCAGCATAGGCTTCCAAACTGGCGCCGTCAGCGAGAACATCTGGCGCGTCGTTGACGTAGGCCAGGAAAAGCGTTGGTCCAAGGATGCTTCCCTGGGGGACTCCAGCGGAAGTCGTATACCTAGATGACGTCCGCCCTCCAACGAGGCACTGTAGGGAACGGGTGTCCAGGTACGAGGCCAGCCATCTCTGAAGCGGACCATCTATGCCTAGGCTACGCACCTTGTGAAGGAGGCCGACATGCGAGACACGATCAAACGCGCCTGCGATGTCCACAGCTAGGATACGAGCCGCCCCTCCACAGCCCACAGCGCTTGCCCAGGCAGTTTGGAGAGCTTGCAAAGCGTCCGATGTTCCAAGGCCTCTGCGAAATCCAAACTGGTGCGACGTGAGCAGATGATGGTCTTCAAAATAGTTTACGATGTGTCTGTTTACAAGAGTTTCCATTACTTTCGAGATTATGCACAGTAAGGATACGGGCCTGTAGTTCTTAAGGGTTGAGCGGGAAGATCGCTTGTGGATCGGAACCACGTTGGCCGTCTTCCCCATCCTAGGTTGCACTCCAGACCGGAAGCATAAAGCAAAAAGCTTGGACAGTGGCTCTGCGAGCTCATGAGCACATTCCTTAAGGACGCGAGCAGAAATACCGTCAGGCCCGGTAGCCTTGGAGACGTCGAGCCTTGCCAGGAGTCGGCGGACAGCCTGTGGGCGGAAGCGGATGGTGCGAAGAGGTGGAGCCTCTGAGGGAGCAGGGTCCGGTAGGTCAGCCTCCACAAGGTCCGGACCGGCAACGCTACATTTCTTGGAGAAAAAGCGAGCGAATGCCTCTGCTTTCTCTGAGCTTGTTGCCCACTCACGGCCGTCAGAGTCGACAACTAGGGGAATTTCGGGCTGTGTGCGGTTGCCAGCAGCGTTCTTCAACTTCGTCCACCACTGTTTGTCTCTGAGGGACCCAGTTGAGAGGCTGCGACGGAGGCTGTCCTCCTTTGCACGTCGTGATCGGAACTGGGTGGCGATCGCTACAGTCACGGAATCGGTGAATGCCTGCTGAAGTGCTGGGTCATAAGGGTGTTTTCTCCAGTCGCGCCAGCGCTTCTCCTTCTCCCTCTCGGTCTCTGTGCATTCAGGCGTCCACCATACCGGATCGGAAGGCCTCGTTTCCAGAACTTTGGATGGGACAAACTGTGCAACAGCTGCAGTAATCGAAGCGGTAACCTGCTCACAGGAAGTTTCTGGGTCCTCCGTGATGATATCACCCCATTCCACGTTGCGAAGGTGCGCCCTAAGGCGATCCCAGTCTGCCCTGTTGTAGCGAAATACTGTTCGCTTAACAGGGGGTTCACGTCTAGGGAGCACGGAAGAAAAGTCTGACAGTACAACTGCATGGTCAGATCGACCGAGGGGCGGAAGTATACGTGTAGTTACTGGGGACGTGAACGTTGACATTATGAGATCTAGCGGGTTGTCTCCACGAGTCGGTACTGTGACATGCTGGACAAGAAGATGGGCAGCGCAGGTATCTTCGAGAGCCTCGCCTGCAGGCGTAGATTTCGAGCTGTTCAGCCAAGCCCGGTTGTGCACGTTGAAATCGCCAGCTAGGATAATGTGGGAGCCCTGGTGTCTAGCTTCTGGGAGGATGTTGTCGAGATGATCGATTAAGGTAAGATCGCCAGGGGCACAGGACCCTGGCCGATACACTGCTCCCAAGACGGTGCGGAGACCTGGGGCCAGCTGGAGAGAAACCCAGATGATCTCATGTGCGGGGGACATGAGGTCAGGGATGAGCATGGAGGGGAGTGACGACTTCACCCAGATGGCTACCCCTCCCCCATGTGCCGTTCTGTCCAACCGAAGTGGTGAGCTGTATCCAGGGAAGCTGATGTCAGAGGGAAGCACTTTCTCCGCAGTGAACTTCGTTTCTGTCACAATTGCTACGTCGGGTTGATGCTGCAGGAGTGCGTGCTGTAGGTCGGGAAGTTTGCTGGCTAGGCCGAAAGCGTTTGTGCAGAGAATGCGAAGATTCTTGCTACCCTTCATTGTATGTATAGCACGCTCAGGAGGTCATGATGGCTGAATCTTGCCCGAGCCTGCAGCCCAAGGGCCGTAGGCCCGAGGGCCGCAGGCAAGGGCAAGATTCAGCCATCATGACAGACAGAGCGTGCTTGATTTGATTTCTTACAGCGCGAAGCAGGGAGTCGTATTTTAGGGAGTCGTATTTTACGACTCCCTGGCGCGAAGCAACATATTAGGGAAGGTCAAAGGTGGAAAGGTCGAAGGTCGAAAAATTATTCTCGAAATGACGTCAAACGGTCCGAACATTCCCGAAATGACGTCAAACGGTCCTGAAACTCCCGAAATGACGTCAAACGGTCCTGATGGCCTGATTATGCCCGCGGCGCGGGAAGATCGCCTATGGGGCTGTTAAGTGTGACGTCACGGCCCCTTCGATACGCATAGCAACGGAGAGCACTGGGGACAAACAAAAGTCGCGTCCTCTGGATGGAACCAGTTGTGAAGGGCAACAGCATCTAAATGACTGGAGAGAGAGCAGTTTTTCTTTGCTTTTTCTTCAAGCGATTGTTGTCGCTCTGTACTCCTTGTTCTTTCCTCTACAAATCTCCTGTAGTCGTCGAGGGCCTTCATAATGGCTGTGAAATTGGCTGCCCACTGTAAAACTCCGTGTTTGAGAGTGCTTTGAAGATTCTTCGCCTCCTGATGGATCAAAGTACGAGCGCTCCCTGTGGATTCGATTATATGTAGGTGAGTTGTTCAAGAAATCAGTGTCTTCTTTCTGTCTCTGCCCTCACGCTGGCACAATATCAGCCTCTATATCCATGACAGCCCGCACCTCCCGTAGACTGCATGACTTAGCTGTATTCTCGCCCTCCGTGGTGATTGAAGACCCATGGAAGAAGTTGTTCAGAATGATGTCCTGAGAATATAAAATAAAATAATTCCAGGGAATTGTTACAGGGTATTTTGGAAGGATGGAGAGAGAGAGAGAGCACTGTTTGAAGTGTTTGTCTCACTGTAATTACTCCAGATTATTGAATGGTGTATGATCTACTCGATATTTTCCGCAATGGTTTTTCCTGATCTGCGGGATCTCTTCTTTTGCTGTTTGCATGTTTACAGGAAGTGACTGTCTGGTGTATCTGCACCAGATCCTGGTGAGATTAAGTCAGATGCAGAGGCAGGGTCGTCCAGCGATGCAACACTGCCGCTCTATGTGCAACGTCACCGCTAATTCCCCGGCGAAAACACAAACACGTGAAGAGACTACAGTATTGACCGTTCTGGTAATGAATCGTGACTGCTCGGACAGTCGATAATCGAAACACAGAGCACCAGCATGATGTTTTCATATTGGGAACCACACACCAGCTCAATTCTCAAGCCGAAAAATTATACAAAACACAGAGCGACGCAACAAGAGATCATCCGGCAACCAAACCAACCTGGGTCTGATGCACTGAATAGTCCTGAAATACGCAGGCCACACAAAGCAGTGCAAGCACAGACTGTTACAAGGTACATGCATTGCAGAACAAAGTGTAATCAAAGATACACAGGGTTATAGCTGCACACTCGTGCATGTGCTCGCTCAGCCCAAGAACACGCAGGATGATAGAAATAATCCGGGGGAAACACGCTAATGTCATGACCGGGGAGTGGGCCAGACATACTCTCAGGATTCTACAATTCCAGGTTCTTTACGGAAATATACCAGGAGTCCAGATACCCATTCCTCACCCTCACCACACAAGAAGATCAAAGCTTCACTCTAGGACCAAGCTCAAACAACAGAGAAGCAACAAGAACAACCAGCGATCGATGCAAAGCATCGAGCTATATACTACAAGACCTAGTAGCGTGCACGGCGCGGAGCGAGCGAGTAGCCAGCAAAGCATGAATAGTGATAGGTTTCACAACACTATTGATCGACAAGACACATCGCCGCCACGGCAAACACTTCATAAAGACACATGTATAAGCAGACGGAATACAATACAGATAATGACATTGTAGCAACACACGCACACAACACTAGCACCGAAGTAAGCATCAAGACGTAAATAGTGCAGCTCTGAAAAAGTAAAAACTACATTGACATGTACATTGGTGTGCCGAGTAGTATCATCCTTGATTACCCATCCAACCAAGATGTTATCAGGTCCCAGACGCCGAGATCCCACGCCGAATGTGAAGTGCATCTAGCCTTGAACCTGTTGCACAAGGCACACACATATGACAAAAATGACATCCACTCCGATTATTTCCAGAGGTCAATCATAACAGAACACAGAAATGAAACCACGGGCTCAACAAAGTAAACGCAAAGGAAATTAGTTAAAATAATCCATGAAGTGCTATTTTAATTCCAGCGCTGACTGCAGTGTGGCGTCATGGCCCGATACCCGCTGAGCATAGACACAAACTCCATTTGACAGGGGCACGACATACTATTTTGGAATAAAGTCACAGGGGCGTAGCACCCGCTACGACTGGTACGACCATGGCCGCACCACTTTTCAAACAGTGTGGTCCGTCTGGAACGTGCAAAACCGTAATAAAAAAATCAGGATCCATCGATATTTGCATATGCGCATCAGACCTTTTTCTAGACTCGTACTCGTAGATCTGTTATGCATCTGCAGTCGTACTGAGTACTGTACTCGACTCGACTGCACACTGCGCCAGAAGTTCCCAGAACGCAGGATTTTGTGTCTTTTTTACAAAATTTTCCGGGGGGGCCCGAACCCCCCCCCCCCCCTCCAACACGGCCTTCCGCCGCACCGACCTTCGGTCGTACCACTTCCAAAACCCCTCCTACGCCCCTGAGTCATAAAGTAGAGCACTCCAATGACATGACGGACACCTCGTGCAAATGCGTGGTCTGTTCATCCGGCCAACTCGGCCACGCATGAGAGTGTGTGCATGTACGCGCGCACGCAAGCGCGCGCGTGCACACACACCATGTATTCGGTGCGTATGGCGTACCTGTTGCGGAGATAATGAAGATGGAATCATTATCATGATGTTACATGACATTGTACATGTACATTGTATGTTTGAGTGTAAAGTAAATTTTATTTTATTACACATTTCTTCGACACAACTTACTCCACATCTTCGCATTTCTCATAATCCATCCACCTACACTCCGTCTCAGTTGAGGAAAAACTCTCCCAGGTATACACTAGTCACCACAGCCATGTGATGACATTGGGATGGGTCCCAAGCACGATTGCACTCTCCAGTTACAATATAATTTTGTCCAGATTATCTGTGAAGACAAAATGCAATGCATAGCGGCAATCGATGGATGAAGAGAGAGTTTGTAAATACACATATCTTTCCACTTGTTCAGGAGCTTACCTTTTGGAGTTCACATCGTTTACAAGATCTCTTATGCTGTCTTGCACCTTGGCTTTGTTGACCATGGATACGCCAACCCAGAAAACATTCTACAGGAGCTACTAATGCAGAGCGTTTTTCACGCTCGATCTCGGCGATCTACCTCGTCACGCCAATAAAATCCTCCGTGACACTGGCTACAGTCACAAGAGACGTCTCAGTAAGGTAATGAGCACGACAACGCCGTCGAGATCAAGGACAAAGAGAAAACAAAACACTCACTGAAAACAGCAAAGAAGAAACGAAGAAATGTACACGATTCCTATATGTTGCCACTGACAACTGGTTCGGTGGAGACGACGCTACTTTTGTTTGTCCCCAGTGGGATCGTTGCTATGCGTATCGAAGGAACTGTGACGTCATCACTTAACAGCCCCATTGGCCATGGCCCCGGCAACGATCACGTGTCATGTAAGAAGTATGTAATCAAGCACGCTCAGGAGGTCATGATGGCTGAATCTTGCCCGAGGGCTGCAAGCAAGGGCAAGATTCAGCCATCATGACAGATCAGACAGAGCGTGCTTGATTTGATTTCTTACATCGCGAAGCAACATATTAGGGAAGGTCAAAGGTCGAAAGGTCGATAGGTCGAAAAATGTTTCCCGAAATGACGTCAAACGGTCCTGAAACTCCCGAAATGACGTCAAACGGTCCTGATGGCCTGATTATGCCCGCGGCGCGGGAAGATCGCCTATTGGCCATGGCCCCGGCAACGATCACGTGTCATGTAAGAATATTATATCCCGGCTCTTGGTCCTGGGCCCATGATGTCAAAAATAGGATGATACACCCAAATTTGCTCCTGCACAGCCCACAGCTTCGCAGCCTTCCCGTCAGCATGGTCATTCGATCTCGATTCTTCAGGACTAGCGACTGGACCTACAATGACATGTGCCTCAAACTCTCCTTTCCCGACAACCACAATGATTAAATTTTGGGGTTTGACACCTCAGGATTGCGAGTTGCAAGGTCATTGCACGTGTACCGGTACCATCGCGTAGCGGATGCACTCCTTTGGAGACGATTTTGGAGAAGATATCTTGGACGAAATGTGGAAAGAAATGGCTTAGCAGGAGAAATTTCGTTTTACCGTTGTACTGTCGACATGTCGCTGTGTACGTGTGAAGCGCGCGATATCGGACCCCAGGACCTGCCGCGAGGAGCCAAGCCGGACACAACAAATAATTCAGAAGTCTTGCAGTTATTTTTAGTAGGAAGAAAATGACAACAATCGCAGGAAGAATACGAAGATAATAGTCAGTGTGAGGAGGTTTGAAGCGTAGTGAATGTGTGCAAATGCACCAGGGAGGAGTCAACCTCGCAGTATGCTCTCTTCAGAGGGGCGGACATCCGGGATGATTGCTGCTGGCAGAAGGTGATTCCAAGCGCGATGGTGTCGGCAGGAAAAGTCATGGTAAGACGAACAAAGAAAATAGTGGTAATTGTCGTTCGCTCCGAATGTCCTGTCAGTTTATGCGAAGAGGGAACGTGGAGAGCTAGCTTGTTATCAGCTGGAAAGTCGAACGATGCAAAGCTCTGCTCTCAAGTACCCTTGACGATAGTGTTTGTCGTGCGCTCGCCTTCCCACGTAGACGACGCTGTGTCGTCGAATTAATTTTTAGTTGGGAGCAGTGGAAACTTCCCTGAAAATGAAATGCTGCGCTTCGGAGGAAGTTCCTTGTCGAACAGTGTTGTTGTGTTTGTTCTACCGGAGGCTCAGTATACCACCAAGTCGGGCATTCTCTGATCCCTGTCGTCTTCCTACGCCATGTAAAAATGCAATTGCTTACTGAGCACTCGATCTCGGACGGGTATGACCCACGCCTATGGGTGTACGGTGGTGATGTCTGAGCGTTGGCGTATCAGTTCGCTGCGTTGGTATCCGGAAGTGCTGGCTCGACGCTGAAGTCTCCCTTCACCCAAGCCCACTAGGACACAGGAGACGGTACAACGGGAATGGTTCGCACGAACTTGACTGTGCTGACGAGTTTGGTGCTCATTTCCATTAAAGGGGAAGTTAAGGCAAAAATTAAAATTTCACCAGTTGTAGTATTCGGGGTGCTGAGTCGAATGGTCGTGGTCCGAGGAAGCTGAGACGCTCCCTTCCTACTTGAATCCCAATCGAACTCGCGCACTTCCACCGAAACTGGGTGACTGCGCCCTACTAGATGGGGATTTGTATGCAAAATGTCACTAAAAGCGCCATTTCGTTCTTATAAAAGCATGGATGACCGCGATTGGCCCATATGTTGTAGTCTTTTGGACGCTGAGTCGATTGGTTTTGGTCCGAAAAGGCTGCGATGCAGCGTTCCCCCTTTATTCCCAATCGAACATGGTTGAACAAGCGGTCACGTGCTCCTGCGTACGCCAGTCACCTGGTCACCGTGCCTGCAGGGTACAACTTACTAGCCTGTTTGACCTTTTTTGGGTGCAGTCCTGTCACTCGAGTTGAACTCGAGTTGAACCTTGGTGTGAAAGTTGTCGCCTGCTGGCGTGGTGACCAGGTGATTTGGGCACCCAGGCGCACGTGACCGCTTCTTCAACCATGTTCGATTGGGAATAAAGGAGGAACGCTGCATCGCAGCCTTTTCGGACCAAAACCAGTCGACTCAGCGTCCAAAAGAGTACAACATATGGGCCAATCGCGGTCATCCGTGCTTTTATAAGAACGAAACGGCGCTTTTAGTGACATTTTGCATACAAATCCCCATCTCGTAGGGCGCAGTCACCCAGTTTCGGTGGAAGTGCGCGAGTTCGATTGGGATTCAAGTAGGAAGGGAGCGTCTCAGCTTTCTCGGACCAAGACCATTCGACTCAGCACTCCGAAGACTACAACTGGTGAAATTTTAATTTTTGCCTTAACTTCCCCTTTAATACATTACACACTCTTTGAAAGTTTGTTGTATCAGCAGTGAAGAAAATTCGCAAAGCCTTGGACTCAGGGGTGTCGGGCACGCTACGGTCACTACGGTTTTGACCGGCCCCGGTAGTGGCCGGTACCCTGTGAATATATAAAAAGGCACTGATCTGGGGTCTAAATTTCGCGATTTCTCCACCCCAACCCCACGAGTAAATTGTACTTCTGGTGGCTGACCGTACCACCCTGAAGTACTTTCCGATGCCCCTGTTAGTTCATGCTTGGTCAGGTACTGTAAAACCGGAAAGTCTAACGAGTCACAAAGTCTACTGTTTTGACGACCATTGTTTTCGCTATTTGAAGAAACATTATCGCGGACCCGGTTTGAGATGTCTGTGTAAACAGATGGTGGCCAGGTAGCCATCGTTAAACTTTCTGCACATTATCATGCCAAAATTACAAAAACGTTAAACCTTTTGGTCGTTAAAATTTCCGGTTTTACGGTGCTGCGAACACTGGGCTGGCGAAGAGGTGCTGGGTGCAAGCGTGACCCACCTGATTGGATTTCGTTGAGCAGCAGCGTACATGCCTGGGCTAAGGCTGGGATTCTTCAGGGCTCTCATCGGCGAATGTCAACTCCATTGTGTGCACCATTGTCCGATTGCCTGTATGCATTCAATGCGTTCTTCACACAGAAAAAAAGGAGCGCTGATAAGTCAAATAATGCATTCTACAGTCGACTTCGGGGCTTTGAAAGGGGCAGCCAGAGGCTGCAACGTAAGGCTTAGTTCAAGTTAGTTGCCTTGACTACATGTGCACAATTAGGAACCGTATTGGTCGAGCAGAGGAACAGGGACATTGGACTGATGGCAGATTAATGAAAAGCCAGATATGGTAATGTGCTGCATTCTCCCCGAGGTACTTGACATGGTCACACATTCCGTAAAGCGATCCTTGTTCTCCTCCTCCTCCTCCTCCTCCTTTTTCTCCTCTTTCTCCTCCCCCTCATCCTCCTCCCTCCCCTCCACCTCATCTTCCACCTCATCATCTTCAAGGCTTCTTCTTCCTCCTCCTTCTCCTCCTCCTTCTCATCCTCCCCCTCCATCTCATCTTCCACCTTATCATCCTCCTCTTCCTAATCCTTAAGTCCCTTCTCCGCTCCTACTCTTCCTTATCCTAAAATCTCTCGTCCTGGTGCGTAATTATGCACTGGTAGCACAGGGAGGTTTTGAGTCTGATTTTCTTTTACTACACTTTGTCCTAGGCTGTGTTTACATGAAGTGTTTCAACCCGGGTTGAGTTCGACCCGGGTCAGATTTCAACCCGCCATGTACACAAAATGAATGGCGCGTTTACATGATGCATTGCGCTTGACCCGGGTTGAAATTTCGCCCCGGGTTGATTTCAACCCTCCCCTTGCAGGAGGGTTGAAATCAACCCGGGTCAAGAAAATCGTAGAAACGTACTTCTGTGCGTATCTCGCGCCAGGTTTGAACAGCACTGCAGATGCAAATTTCGCGCGAACGGATTCACGTGACCATACAGGACTGTAGAAGTGGACTTTTGGCGGCATATCAGTATTTGACCCGGGTCAACTGTCTGTAAACGCTCGCCTCTTTTGTCTATCGTACAGACTTTCAACCTGGGCTGAACTTGACCCGAGTTGAAACTTCTCATGTAAACACAGCCCTAGTGTTATATTCTCGATGTCTGCATGTATGTGTGTGTATATATGTGTGTGTGTGTGTATGTAAAAAAAAAAATTCGCGGAGAGGAAGCAGATTTGTTAGCTCCTGGTTTTCTCTTTGTTGGCCTCTTCCACGGGGCGGCCTTGGCCTTCTGGTCAGGGTCGTCCCTGGGTATTGACTGGCAGTAGGCTTTTCATGCCTTGCAGCCGGTTTCGCTCGCGCGGAAGGACATTCAGTGAGCTGACGACCAGGGCGGGTGATTTGTTGCCGTCACCGTCTTCTTGCGTCCTTTCCGCATCCTCCGCAGTGGCGTGGCGAGCCCTCGGATCAATCCCCAGCCTGTAACAATGCAGTGGCGTTCGGCAAAACAAGTGGATTCCTGGATGAGAAAGGATACAGGTCACACTCGCAACAATTTATTCCTGCGCGGTGATAGCTGGAATTGTGAATTTGTCGTGTTGTTTGGACCTGAGTGAGTCGTCGTGCGGCGATGGTGTAGTGATGTTAGCTTGCTGTGCATACTCCTCGTCGTTTCGTGAAAGTACGTCTTGTGGAGCCCTTGTGGGACGTTCGGTGCCCACCCTCCAGCTCAAGATTGTGCTTTCCTGGTGCATGAAGGCCGGAGCAGTACGCGTACAGACGTTATTGTTGAACAGAACATCGTGTTCACATTAATTTTGTTCCTTTTTCAGTCGTTGCATGTTACTTATAGTGGACCTACAGCAGACTGTTCATCTGGTTTGTGATATTTCCTTCCTCTGTTTGTGAGTCCCTTTCCATCAATATGGCAGCTTGTTTTGATTTCCTTTTTTCAATTCATTTTGCTGTACTTCCTGTTTTGTTTGCGCCACTGCCCCTCACCTTGCGCTCAGTTCTCTGAGTGGAGGGCGGTGTGACCCCAAGGGGTAGCTGATTGATAGTAGTAGTAGTGTGTATGTGGTGTGTGTATGTGTATGTGTATGTGTGTATGTGTGTGTGTATATATGTGTGTGTGTCCATATTGTGGTAGTCATGCATTGTACATCACGGCTGTAGTACTGATGTGCACAGTCATGGTAACAGTGCATTGCGTAATGCTCTTGGCCATATGCTGCTGTTGAGCTGGTTTTACAGATGAAGAATCTGAGAGACACAATGGCTAGTTGTCTATTCTTTCCGTGTGCTTAGTCTGGCTTCTTGCATGCCTACATTGGCGCAGTGAACAGGCACGGATTTGTCGCCATGTCCGCTCCCAAAGGCAGAGCGCCGAAGGAATTTGTACCTGACTTTTCCAGCAACATCGGAGCCGATTTCGAATTGTGGCTCGAGGACGTTGATGATTACCTGAAAATTTGTGGAGTTACGACGGCAGCTGATAAGAAGAGGCTGTTTCTGAACCTTGCAGGCCTCGCTGTCAGGCGTATTGTTAAAGGAATCGTAGTTCCTACTCCACCAGCTCAGGCTGATGGCAGTGCCGGATGTGAGTACAAAGCTCTGACGGATGCTGTGATTGCTCATTTTCGTCCTGCCACAAACACAACGTCGGAACGCCACCGGTTCCGTCAGCTTCGCCAGAATGAGGGTGAGTCTGTCACAACGTTTGTGGGACGCCTGCGCGAAGCAGCTGATCGCTGTGAATTTGCGTCTACTGCCGTGGACACCATTGATCAGGGACAAATCCGTGACCAGGTGATCGAGGGCCTGCGATCCCAGGAGCTACGTAAAGAACTTCTCAAAGAGTCAAAGTTGACACTAGCCAATGCTGTGAGCAAAGCTGTGGCACTCGAGTCCTCTATCACGGACAGCAAGCTTTATGGTGACGCTGCAGCTACTCCAGTGTCGAATTCATTCTCTCACATTCACCGTGTTTCACACTCCCAGCCTGCCTCTGCGCACAAGAAGTTTGGGAAGTGCAAGTACTGTGGCCGCTCGCATCCAAGAGGCAAGCAGCATTGCCCTGCAGCGGATGCTACTTGTGGCAACTGCTCGAAAGTCGGCCACTTTACAAGAGTATGCCTGTCGCGCAAGTCTGATAATGCGCGCATGACATCCGAACAGGTGGAGGAGGATGACGCCAACTATTTCTGTGATTACGCATTCTCAGTGGATACTTCTCAGCACCAGCAATTGTTTCGTAAGACGCTGATCGTCAACGGCCGTCCCTGTGAAGGACTACTGGATACCGGTGCTACCCGATCAGTGCTAACCGATGATGTTGTCCAGCCAACGCGAAAGAGTGATCGAATCTTGAAAGCGTACAATGGCGGCGTCATCTCAACACTCGGTATGGCTGATGTGACGGTCTCTGTTGGATCACGCAGCATCGTATGTAGTTGTTTTGTTGTCCCAGTCGCGTCTGGCCGCCAAATCCTGTATGGCCAGGACGTCATCTCCGAACTGGAGTTGCTGACCTCTGCTGAAGTCAATGTGGTGAACGTGACGCCCATCTCTATCACAGTGGACCCTGACACCACTCCAACAGCACTCCCACCCCGTCGGCACGCTTTCAGCATCCGGGATGAAATTGCCAAGGAGTTGGATCGTATGGTGAAGCATGACATAATCGAGCCAGTGCGAGAAGCTACTCCGTGGGTCTCACCGTTGGTGCCGGTCAGGAAATCAAGCGGTGCTTTGCGTCTCTGCGTGGACTACCGCGTCCTAAACAAGAGCGTAGTCCGGGAGCGTCACCTACTTCCCACCGTTGACGAAATCAATGCGCAGCTGGACGGTGCAACAGTGTTCTCCGTTCTGGATGCTGAATCTGGCTTTCACCAGCTCCCTTTGGCCGATGAATCTCGTCCGTTCACCACTTTCGCCACTCACAAGGGCCTCTTTAGATTCAAGAGACTCCCGTTTGGCATTGCTTGCGCACCGGAGATATTTCAACGTGTGGTGTCTGACATCCTTGCCGGCCTACCGGGAGTCGTTGTCTATATTGATGACATTCTCATCTATGCCCGCAACCGACAGGAACACGACGAGCGCATGGCTGCCGTACTCCGTCGTTTGAGCGAAGCCAACCTGCGCTTAAACTGGGAGAAGTGTCGCGTACGCCAGTCAGAAATCAAGTACTTGGGACACTGGCTGAGCAAGGATGGTGTGCGTCCTGACGGTGACAAGCTGCTGGCAATCCAACAGTTGCAGCTGCCGCAGACGTTGACAGATGTACGTCGTTTCCTTGGTATGGTGACGTACCTTGGTAAATTCATACCGCAGCTCTCACAGACAACTGAGCCGCTGAGGAAACTGGCTCAGCGACAACCATTCGTCGTTGATGATGAGCTGACGGCCGCGTTCACCGATGCGAAGACAGCCGTGGCCTCGTCGCTAGAGTGCTTAGCGTACTTTAAGCCATCCTTGGACGTCCCAACCAAGGTAACATGTGACGCATCTCCACTTGGTCTGGGTGCTATTCTGTGGCAGCAAGACAAGAGTGGCACTTGGTTACCTGTCACCTGCGCCAGCCGTTCATTGTCCGATGTTGAATCTCGTTATTCCCAGTTGGAGCGCGAGATGCTTGGTATCGTATTCTCTCTGACTCGATTCCGACAGTACGTCCTGGGGAGATCTGTTCAAGTTGTGACCGACCACAAGCCCCTGATCTCAATCATCCAGAAGCTGTTTGACGAAGTACCACCACGGCTGCAGCGCTGGATGGTCGCTCTCATGCCATACCAGTACACCTTGTCACATGCACCTGGGAAGCAGATGGTGTGTGAAGACACATTGTCAAGAGCGCCTGTCCAAGACTCAACTGCCTCACCAGAAGAAGCCCGCTCTATGGCTGAGTTCATTGGCCTGGTCTTGGAAGAGTGCCCAGTCAATATCGACGATATCGCCAAGGCGACTAGTGATGACCCACTGTTGCGCAGCATACAGCAGCGCGTCTTGATGCAATCATGGTCCCAAGTCACACCCGCTGAAGAGCCATACTACCTTATCCGAGATCAGCTGACGACCATTGACGGCATCCTGCTATTCGGTAACCGCTGTGTAATACCAGAAGCTCTCCGACATGCCGTACTGCAGTTGGCCCATGAAGGTCATCCAGGTCGGGACATATTCAAGGATGCTTTGCGACGACGAGTATGGTGGACCGGCATGTCTAAAGATGCCGACAAGTTCGCCGAGCAGTGTTCAGAGTGTTGGCGCCGTCATACAAACCCCGCACAAGAGCTGCTGCCATCAGAAATTGAAGGAGTGTGGCAGAAACTGGCGGTTGATCTGGTGTGTATCGAGGGTCAACAAGTATTATCCATCGTTGACTACGGTTCACGCTATCCGGAGCTACTTCCCTTGTCAGCTACCACAACCGCAGCTGTCATTGACCGGCTGATGGAAGTGTTCGCGAGGTTCGGCCTGCCTAGCGTGTTGGTGTCCGACAATGGCCCCCAGTTTGCCTCAGCCGAAATGGCCCAGTTCCTGCAGCGGTTGGGTATCCAGCACAATCGATCAAGCCCACGCTACCCCAGATCTAATGGCATGGTGGAACGTCTTCATCGAGTCGTCAAAGAGAGAATTCAATCTCTACGACCGTCCCTGTCTTTGCAACGCCGTTTGCAACAAGTTCTCTTTGATATTCGCAACTCAGTGCACCGAATGCTGGGCATGTCACCCAATGAGGCTTTCTTCGGTCGCATGGTTCGCACCCGTCTACCTCACCATTCTACCCCACGCATTGTGAATGCTTCTCATCAGATTCGCGCCAAAGCTGACATGGCAGTCTCGCATGATAGTCGCCGCGGTGTCCGCCAGTTGCCTATGCTGCGTCCTGGCACAATGGTAGTCTTGCAGGATGGCTATTCCGACCCAACTACCCCTTGGCGTGTTGTGGAGCAATATGGCAGACAAGTCGGCGTCACTGATGGAAGGCGGATACTGCTCCGAAATCGGCAGCATGTGCGAGAACATGCTTCACCTGCATCATCAACTGCCACCTCTTCTCGGTCTTTGGATCTCCAGCCAGTTCCGACGCCAGATCCCCAGCCAGCTACCGAGTCAGAAGTGAAATCCTCGGCACCTAATGCAGATGTGCCGCCTGCTACGCCTACTGCTCCGTGTGAAGCAGGAGTGGAATCTGAGATCAAAGAGGCTGATGCTCAGATTCATCCCGAGTCCAGTGACCAATCACGTCGTCAATCACGCCTACCACGGCCCGATGCCCAGTCTGGCTCGCTCTATCGCGAGGGCTATGTAACCCGCGCTGGCCGCACTGTCAAGCTCACTGAGAAAGCTGCTGGTGCATTGATGTAATATCTCCATTTTTGACTGACCATGTTGCATAACTATGCCAATTTGCAATTTAGTTGCTGGTTTGGTTTGTTCTGTTTGTATCGTGGTACAGGTTTGATGTATCTTCAGTGAGTTGACCCGTCAGTGTCAGGGTGTATCGAATTTGTTGCTTTGAATTGATTCTTTGCTCGTTTCCTCTGCAATTTTATTGTTCTTTTCTTGTCTGCAATTTTCTCCTTTTTTCTTTTTCCTTTTTTTTCTCTCCTTTTTTTTTCTCAAACAGGTTTGCATTTGCAGACAATTTTTTTTTCTTAGGGAAGGGGGGTAATGTGGTAGTCATGCATTGTACATCACGGCTGTAGTACTGATGCGCACAGTCATGGTAACAGTGCATTGCGTAATGCTCTTGGCCATATGCTGCTGTTGAGCTGGTTTTACAGATGAAGAATCTGAGAGACACAATGGCTAGTTGTCTATTCTTTCCGTGTGCTTAGTCTGGCTTCTTGCATGCCTACACATATGTGATTGAGTCTTGTATCTTGTCGTGTTGTTGTTGCTACTGCTGCTGTTATCGTTGTCATCTTCATAGTCGTCGTCGTCGTCGTCGTCGCTGTTTTGTCTGTGTACTGTAGAACGGCTAATTTAGCGGGTAGAATATTTAGCGTTTTCTGAATCAGGACCAATTCGCGATGAAATATTTAAAGCGATCTGAGTTGATGGGTTAAATAAGAGATGCCTTGTACTGTATCATACATCCAAAATTTCGAATGATGTGGAAAACCTTTAGCGAGAACACTCCTTTCGCTAGAATCGCTAAAATATCACTGGCGCTAAAACTAGCCGTTTTACAGCATCTTGGAAGGGGGGGGGGGGGTCTTGGGCATCTGTGTGTGTGTGTGTGTGTGTGTGTGTGTGTGTGTGTGTGTGTGTGTGTGTGCGTGCGTGCGTGTGTGTGTGTATGTGTATTTGTACTTGGCTACTTGTATATGTCTTTATGTGTTCCCCTGTGTTCATGTGTTGTTGTTGTGCCATTAGGCCATCTCGGCGCAGCACTACTTGCTGTGTGCAATCATGCTATTCTCCCTGATCACTTCTACATGCGTGCTTGGTAAGCGACAGTCTCCATGCTGCCTTAGGGGCCTCCGTAAATATCGGACCTTTTTTCACCAAACCAATTATTTTTGTTTAGACCCAACCCCTCCCTCCCCCTAAGAACGTAAAAAAATGTTGACATACATGTACATGCATATACATGTACAACAAAAGTTGCAAGTGTGTCACTGCTCCAACGACCAAGTACATGCATCAATGTTTTCTGAAACGAAATTGGTCAACCCCCTCCCACCCCATAACGTAATTATTTCGTTTTGTAAAAAAGAGTTCGACAATTATTAATTATGGATGACCCCTTAGTTAGAGGGGCGTCGAAACCACCCTAGAGGTGCGCCCAAAAAGCCGCACCATTTTCCTTGTGATTTCTGAACTGCGAAAAACGATATAATCTCTAGGTCGAGTCAGGCACAATCACCCAAAAGGTTTCCCCGGAGAGGGCCTTTTCACAGCTGCTCCGAAGTAGAGTGTTGTAGTACGTATCGTCTTATAATTATAGTCTTCTAGATGTAGTTATCGTCGTCAATGTGTATAAGTGTGGAGATGGCACGGGACTGGGAGCAGGTAGAGAAAAGGCAGTTACAACAAGAGTACCTTCCGATGCCCCTTTTCTTGCGTTGCGTTTAAAATATGGTGTTTTGGCCTGTTCCGCTGTGCCGGGTCATTATGCTAGGGAGTTCACTCGAAAATCAAATTCGCGTGTTTTCGTAAAACGCTAGTTTTCTAAACCGGGAAGATGTCGCAAACCTGTGAAAAATTGAAAAAAAATCCAAGGCAATCCAGAGTTATGGACGATTGAGGTTGGGAAAATGATCGCCTGCCCAGTCACAGAAAGCAGTGCAAGTACGTATGGAGACGGTGTGGTTTCCGTCCAGCACTGCAGTATCTGGTGCGTACATGCGGGTGCGAACTGAAGTGCATGGCGATACAGGATGTGCGCATGCATGCCGTGCGTGCCTACTTGCACAAACACGTTTTCATCGTCGCCGCTTCTGCAGTGTGCGCACAGTTCACTCACTCTTTTTCGCCCACCACCAGGAATTTGCCGCGGGCTGTTTTCTGTGATCATGTTCCTTCTTCCGCGATAAAGCGCAAGCCTAAATGTTCTAGATTCCTCTTGTTTTAGACTAATTCAAGGCCGCTGAACATGAAAATCGGGTGTTCCTCCCGGAGCTGAGTATGCATCTGGTCGAGATCAGTACTTCGCTATGCCTCTGCGCAAAGCGGGGCACCATTTTTGTGTTCCCGCACAGCATGTGTGGCATCAATGAAAAGGTAATGACCTCGGCTACCTAAACATAGCATTGACAAGGGCGTGCTGGCCACAGGATCAAATAGAAGCGGGCTCGAAGTCTGGCCAAGCAGCTGCCACGCATGCCCATTGCACTTATGCACACGAGTCGTGACTGCAGTTTTTACCTGACGCGGGTCCGGAACCAAACTCCCTAATTATGGCGTGTCGATCTGTTTTGCTGTGCTTGCTCTCACGTCCTGCTGTAGGATCCGGGTCTGGACTCCCACCGAACGGAAACCATGGGTCGGGACACGCGCCACTACCGACTACCTCGCCGCCTGAGCCTACCACAACAGTCATGATTTATACACTGGCACCGACAACACTAACGCCAGCGCCGCCAAATCAGCCCATCGCGACCACTCCCCCCACCACACCCGTACCAACAACTCAACCAGCGACCAGTTCTCGACCAGTAACTCAATCCCCCACCACCAAAGCAGCAGCAACAAAAACACGTACTCTTCCCACCAGCACCAGCACCGAGAGCACAACAGCTGCGGTTTCACGGACTGGTACGGAGACAGCTGATCCCAGCAGTCAACGCCCCAGCCCTGCGCCAGTGAGTGCCAGCACCAGTCCTCAAAGCAGTACTCATTCACCCAGGGCAACCAGCTTGCGGCTTGCAACAACGTTTGGCATTGTGTTCTTCCCCAGTGCTACGCCACCTGCGGAGGACGGTATGTATTTTCACTTGGCCGCTGGTGCCCATTCTTTGCATATGCCATGTACTGTTGTGGATATTGAGATCCAATGGGATGACCGGGCTCAGCGGCCTTGCTGCTTTTAGTGGGCACATGCACTGTAGTTCACATCCACACTGTAAAACTGGACGAGCAGTGCTTGCAGTTGCAAGGCCAGCTCCACGTGGCCAGTTCTCAACTATGTCAATGTCCGCTACAGCCTTCAGTACATGTTGTTTTAGGAGCTAGCTAGCTATAGCCTCTAGAAGCATGCGTAGAGTTCGAGCAGGACTGCGACGTGCCCGCAAATCCCAACTGGTGTGTGTGCCATGTGTGTGTGTGTGTGTATGCGTGCGCGCACGCACGCGTGTGTGCGTGTGTGTGTGTGTGTGTGTGTGTGTGTGTGTGTGTGCACATGTGTCGGCACATGTGTGTTGAGATAGGTGGGCAGTAGGGGTGAAAGGATTAGTTCGAATATTCGAGTATTCGTTCGAAAATTTCAAACGAGCGAGTATTCGAAATTTTGCACTCGATCGTTTTTTTGTTTGTTTTTTTAGTATTGGCATTCTATTTTTCAAAAACTTCTCTTGTACCGCTCATCAACTGGTATGCATGCATTATGCATGCCTTTGAGTCAGTATTTTATGACTTGGACGATGCGATCACCAGGGCAAGTAACGTTAGTTTGTTATGAAATAATGAAAGTACTGGTGAAAATCGTTACTCTACACTCTGTACAAGACGTTGGCGACTTTTGTTCTATGTTCACAGATAATTTCTTCCGAATGGGTCGAGAACTCACAAATCTAGCGCTTTAGAATTTTGATAAAATACTCGAAATAATCGGATACTCGATCGAATATTATGAATGAGTGATCGATTGGTCAAAACAGATACTCGTTTCACCCCTAGTGGGCAGGTGTTTATTTGAGGTCACAGGTTTTGAGGGTCAGTTGAGATTTTCTTAGCAGTCGAGTCATCTAATACTGTAATGTTGCGCATTAAAGCCGGGCCTATTCCTGCAGAAGCAGAAGTCTGTGCTAGGCTTCTATTCAAACCAGACCAAGAAAAGTAAACTTAGCATATCCGCATTTCCACCAGCTAAAAAATTAAGTAAAAAGTCGCATTATCATAAGCCTGAAAATTGTGTGTGTGTGTGTGTGTGTGTGTGTGTGTGTGTGTGTGCGTGCGTGGGTATGTATGTGTGTGCGTGTGTGTGTGTGTGCGCGCGCGCATGTGTTTGTCTTTTCTTCTGCGCAGAGGCCGAGGCGTTCTCTAAGGGTGCAATCGCGGCTGTCGTACTGGGGAGCTTCATTGTGGTGTGCGCCTTGTCCTTCACAGCCCTGTATCTGGCCAAGTATCGCGCATCCATCATCAACACATCCGGTGGTGCCATGCCGTACCGCAAGAAGGGCAGATCGGCGAGCACCGTGCCAATGAACGCCCACGATTACGGTCAACAGCGACGTGAATCCTCCGAACCGCCGCCGAGCGCCTCCACCTCTGGCACGTCTCTGCTGGGCAACACTCTTGCCAGGTACTTCCAGACGTCTCCCAACACGGACGAAGACGCCGCTGCCCTGCCCAGACGCTCGCAGCAGCAGGAATATCCACGACTGGGCCTGCCACAGCACCAGCAGTCCTACTCAACCTGGCGTGGCGGCGGCAGCTTGGGCGGCAGTGATGAGCAACACTTTGCCAATGCGGCCCCGGTGGCTCCCGGCAGCGTCGCAGATCTGGCTTCCATTGGTGGCGGCACTCTCGGCCTGTACAACCCGCGTGCCAGCTTGTACCGGGACGTATCCGGCCTGCCACCGGACTGGGTTTCGCCGACTGCCGATGAGCGTTCCTGTGCCAACAGCACGGCTCTAATGCTGGATGATGGCCTTGGAGAGGACGTCTATTCCATTTACTCGGCGAACTCCATCGGACGCAGTGCGGGCGCTGCGTTTGCCTATAGCAACGGTGGATTGATCGGCCGCAGTGCTGGTGGTGCGGTCGGAGGCACTGCGGCCCCAGTGCTTAGTCGAAGCTTTGCCGGTGGTGGACCAGCGGGTGGCCGTGGCGCCATGGCACCTCTGTTGAGAAGCGCTGCTGCCAACCAACAGGAAACGCTCTACGAACAGCACGCGGACGACGGTGCTACAGGTGCGGTGCACGGCCCAGGCACGGGTGCCGCTGCTGTTCCCACATGGCTGAACGGATTGTGCCATGCCCCGCCACCGCAACCTGCAGGCAATGAGCAAACGTCGCCACCAAAGCCGCTTCAGCGCGTGTCCAGTCTAATAGCGCGCCCGGCGGCGCCGCGCAACAGGAATATGGTGCGCGGCCAGTCGGTGATGGTGCGTACGCCGCGCAAGAGAGAAGCACAGCTTCACATGGCCTTCTTTGCCAACAATCCCACGGCGCCCCCGCCGGGCTTTTCCAGTGATCCCGCAGCACCACCACCACCACCGCCACCACCGGCAGGCTTTTCCAGCAATCCCGCAACAACGCCCCTTCCCGTCCTTTCCAACTATCCCACAGAAGCACTACCGGCTGGCTTTTCCAACAAGCTGCCAACGTCCCCGCCAGTCTTCACCAATTACCCCGCAGCAGCAGCAGCACAAGCAACGTCAGGCTTTTCCACCAATCCGGCGCCTCCACCACCGGCCGGCTTTTCCACCAATCCGGCGCTGCCGCCGGTCTTTTCCGGTTATCCCGCGGCAGCAGCAGCAGCAGCACCACCACCACCGGCAGGCTTTTCCAGTGATCCAGCAGTAGCACCACTGCCGGGCTCCAGGCCTAGCTCCCGGCCTGGCTCCAGGTCCGGCTCCAGGCCAGGCTCCCTGAAGCGACGGAAAGCAGCGCCTCGCCGAACCACCTCCTTCTCCGGCGAGTTCGGAGCCCCGCGGCCACCTACTGGCGCGTACGTCTGGCACAATTCCACCATCACACAGGTCCACTGGAGAGAGCAGCAGCAGCAACAGCCCGAATCTGTATACGATATCTACCAGGACTCGTCGCAGATCATGCGTTCGAACGTCCCGACGGACGACGCCTACGGGTATATGACCCCCGTCGAGACGGACACATCCGACGAGCCACCGCCACCTTGCCACCTTGCTGCGACGAGGACGGACAGTCTTCCCCGGCGGCACAGCACGGCCGGTGCATTCTTTGCCAGCTCCGCTGCCGTCCTGAAGGAACCCGACTGCACCTACGACACACTGGACATGCTCGCCGAGAGCCAAGAGATGCGTTTTTCCGAGATGCGCCACTCCATGCCGATGATCGACCCCACGCAGCACGACGGAAGCAGTCACTCGTCGGCTCAGCTGCGCAGCTCCAACAGTCCCATGGGCTCGGTCAAGGAGGACGATGACCTCTACGCCCCGCTGCCGTTCTCTGCAGCCGACCTGCGCAGCACTGGCCAGCCGCAGTCGAAGTTTGCCGAGGTGCGTGCTGGCACTGGCTTCTCCCTCGGCCACAACTGGTCCAGGAAAAGCAAAAGGTCGGTGAAAAAGGACAAGAAGCGAAAAAGCTTGATATCCGGCGACTTTATCGCGTCGCTGTATCCATCGCGTACCGGCCAAAGTAAACTTGACTCGCAAGGTGGTGGTGGTGGTGGTCGTGGTTGTGGCGACGCCGTCGGTGATGTTGGAGTAGGCTTTGGTGCTATCGGTCGACAAGAAGCAAAAAAACACATGCAAAAGTCCCAGACGGTGGACGACGCGTGGGAGGAAGGATGACCGCATGCAAGCGCTGTAGTCCTTGTTGCGTTTCTTCACCAGGCATGGTGGGCAATCTGCTTGTGCCGCCGCCGAGAAGATCCACTGCTGCTTTGTGTCGGTATCAGCTTATTGGAGGCATCCAGGACAGCGGTGTTTATTGGCCATGCCATCCTGAAGCCTGCACCAAGTCCGCGATCCGGATGGCATACCCCTCCTACATGATTTCATAGATGTGTTTTTTTACCAGTGAGTTGCGCACGTGCCAAACAGGCTGTGGTTCAGGTGAAGGTCAACCACACGTGCGGTGACTCTGGCCAATCGAGGCATCTGGGTCATTCCTGGCTGATCCGATGCATAGCGCCGTTGACCTTACTGGGTCTTGCTGCACTGTCTTGTATCGCAAACCCGGAGCATTCTCCCATCCACTTGGGCATCTTATTTTTTTACCTTTGCCCCTGCTGCTGCTATTGCTGCCGCCAAGCGCCACGCAATGTTCGCTGTCGGTTTACCGAGTCCGTGTCGCGACCGCACTGCCCGATGAGTTCACTCCGTTCTGGACGTGCGTTTCCGAATCTGGCATCACATTTTTATACAGCGTACTAGCAAAAAATACGCTTGTAGTCCTTTTCATTCTGTGTGTTCGATTGTAAATTTGTTATTCTCCCGACGTGGAATCTCTCTAATCTCTATATTATAGTATAGACCGAGGTGTGTGACTTAGGTGCTCTATCCTACTCTAGCCCTGGGCCCCATTCCAGCCCGGCCCGCAAACTGCTTTTCATTCCCTTGTAAGCTCCTTCACCGAGGCGGTGGTGCGCAGGGACGCGGCACGTGTCGGTGAGCTCTATTTATCACCCCCCCCCCTGTGTCACTGACTTGACGTGCAATCACTTGTATCTAACCAGGGTGCGTGTATATAGCACGTATGCTGGCTGCATCAGTAATACTAGATTATCGGCTGATTTTCATGCCTTTTTTATGATGTGCATTTCTTCCTGTTCTGGATAATGTTTCTGTACCGGCTACCAATTGGACGAGCTGCCTGTGTGCATGCTTGCGCGACTGTGCTGTTTGTGTGTTTCCCTGGTGTCTGCTGGGCACGTGCAAGTCATGCATCTGAGTGAATTGGTGGTGGTAGTGGTGGTGGTGGCGGTGGTGGTGGTAGCGGTGGTGGTGGCGGTGTGGTGCAGTGTTCGTGGTGGTTGATGGTGGTGGTGGTGGTGGTGGTGTTGATGGTGGTGGTGATGGTGGTTCCCACCTTCCAACCCGGGAAATATTTTAGATTTTGTTAAAAACGATTCAAAGCCTCTCAATTATTTTGTAATACTTGAAGTATGAATATAAGAATAATTATAATATACTTTCACACAAAACAAGCTCGGTGCAGCACTAATCGCGGCAGGGGAACCCGATCCTCCACCATCGCCAACTCACGAAGTAGTGCCGGATGGTGGTGGTGGTTGTGGTGATGGTGGAATGGTGGTGGTGTTGATGGTGGTGGTGGTGGATGGTGGTTCCCACCTTCCAACCCGGCAAATATTTAGATTTTGATAAAAACAATTCAAAGCCTCTCAATTATTTTGTAATACTTGAAGTATAATTATATAATATATATAATACAGGCGCGTCGGAACGACTTTGGAAGTGTGGCGGCCATGGAAGGGGGGTCCGGGGGTCCTCCCCGGGAAAAAATTTCAAAAATTAAAGCCAATTGCAAGCATTTCCGGGCATTTGGTGCCATTTCAGTGTACGGTAACTACAATGAAAGACTTTTTGATTCTGCAAAAACCAAGAAGATGCTACGATCGGGGACAAACATTACCCTCCCCCGGGAAAAAAATTCAAAAATTGAAGCCAATTGCAAGCATTCCCAGGCATTTGGTGCCATTTCAGTGTACATGGACTTTTGATTCTGCAACAAACCACAATCGGGGACAAGGATTTGCCACGTTTGCGCTGAGATCATCGCGCTTTGTTGCAGTGTGCTAAAAAAAAAAAAAAACGGCCGAAAAAGTGGGGCGGCCATGGCCGCCCCGACCGGTGCGATTCCGACGCCCTTGATATATAGTAATAAAAACTGCTTTATGGCAGTTTTCGAAAAAAGGTTATTGTGTTCTTATCCATGGACCCTGTCTAAAAAGTAAGAAATTAACGAAATGTGATAGCTGAAAATTAAAATTTCACACAAAACCTCACAATAATCACAACACTTGAAATGCTGCTTTCAACACTAAACTTGTACTGCACCAACAATTTGCAACATGCATGCATAGGAAAGAGGATCACGAGGGTAAAAGGTCTTCTACATGTAGCTTTTCATTCTGTGTGTGATTATTGTGAGGTTTTGTGTGAAATTTTAATTTTCAGCTATCACATTTCGTTAATTTCTTACTTTTTAGACAGGGTCCATGGATAAGAACACAATAACCTTTTTTCGAAAACTGCCATAAAGCAGTTTTTATTACTATAATTTCTTTTGTTTTTTTCTGTCACCAATCAATGGAAAGCCCAGGCCCCTATATCAATAACATTATGTAAATGATGGCCTTCATATCATATCAATACCGTATTAAACGCATCGATGTGCAAGCCTTTTCTTGCAGAAAATGGCACTAGCATAATGATTGTTCGCCTGCGGGGAAACATGTGAGTAGTGGTGGTGATACTTTTTTTATACGGAGGTCATTCTGTGCATGTTGCTGTTGCAGAATGTCATGACTCATAAATGTCATAAAATTGTCTTGCCTTTCAGATATTTCAGATTTCCCCACCCTCTATCAGATTTATTTGAGAAATGTAGCCATGCGCCAGGTGCGTGTCGCAGATGTTTTTGTTGATGCTGTGTTTATAATGGTTTATAATCATGGGTTATCGTGATAAGGTCATCCGGCATCATATTGCACTGAAGTCGTAATCCTGTTGATGTCGATACAACTTTTGGAAGTAGATCAATGACTTCAAACTGTTAGCCCACGATTTTCTAAAACAACACAGCAAAGGAGGAACAGTAAACATGTATTAAAATGTAAACAAATACATTGCTGAGTCCGACACCTCGTTCCAACAACTACACTGATCCTGAGGATAAAAGGGGCAAGGCTATGGTTGGAGGTACTGAGAGATAAACAAGGCACTCCATGATAATAAAATCTTACACATCTTTTGGTGAGTATGAATGATATCCGGTCGAACCTCTTTAGGACGAACACCAAGGGACCGATGGTATTTATTCTGTGAGTTTGTCTTAACCTATTTTATAACCAGTGAATACTATTATTTCTCCAATAGACATACGAATAGATTTCTTCTACAGCGAAAGATTCTAAGCCACACTGACTCATTGACTCGTCTCGTATGAAACAAATGAGTCACTAGAGAGGTTCTGCAAAACGAAAATGCGTACAAACTTTCGCTATACATCATGAAGTGCGAAACTTCGCACGAACTTTCGCAACTTTGGACGCGAAACTTGCAGGGAACGCGAAATGAACTGTCGCAGGAAATTTCGTGAGATCGGGTCATGGCGTACGTGCACTTGGCCCGCGCAAACAACGAAAATGTGCAGAACGCAAAGTTCGTGCAAAAATTTGTACACACTTTCGCAAGGACTGTCGCGAAACTTCGTTCGAATTTTCGTTTTCCAGAACCTCTCTACTGAACCTTTCTTTAGCAACATGACGGCAACATAAACAGCAACAGAGAAAGTACGATACATGTACAGCACATTCTTGCAGGTACTACAGGTACTACAGGTACTACAAACAGATTGCAGATCGTAATTCTTGCTTTGGCGGCACGAAACTTTATTTGGGGCAGTGCAATCTCGGCGGTACTCACAAATCAAACAGCCCAGACTAGTCATGGCCCAAATTTGCTCTGCCCACATCGATATTTTGCCGCACAATTTTGCTGCAAGATTTTCGATATTCTGCTCGGCATTTCCTTTCTCTGTCGATATTTTGCTTTCATTTTGCTCGAGCTAAAATGAGTTTCAAGGAAAAATCTACAATCACTGTCGCTGATGACTACGGAATTTTTGATTGGGCTCCTGCTGCTGCTCAACTTTCTACAAAAATGTAGCCACGAGTCTGTTTTGTCCTACTTTTATGCTCGTTTTCAACCTTGGTGACTGATTGTGTTGGGAAACTCCCTAAGAAGCCTTGGATTTTCCGAAAAGCCCACCAAAACTCGATATTTTGCTCGAAACTTGCCGGCAACTTGCGCATCCGATATTTTGCTCAAAGAATTGCTAGCAAATTTGGGCTATGACTAGCCCAGACTCGAGTAAACAAATACAATCATACAAGTACGAGATTTTCACGAGACCATGTACCATACTGCACCCATTGGCTTGTGTCGTATGAAGCAAACAAGTTACTGAACCTCTCCACAATGGAGATTTTCCCTGATATGCGAATTTATTTGGCAAACTCGGTCAATGAGTCCTTGAACCTTTCCCTCCAGATTGGGAACTGCCAACGATAGTATGCCACTGACCAGTGCCTTACTTGTAATGTACCAATGTGCAATGAATATGAGTATTTCGACCACACATCTAACATAAGCCTTACCGTCAAGAAGGTGAACTCGCGTTCTTCGCACACTGTAGAAAAGGACAAAGAGATAAAAATGGATCCGAATAAAATCAGCACACGTTTCCGTAAATGAAAGGGTGAGCATAAGCAAATAAATCGAAGGAAACCGGTCAACTCAGAGATCACGTACCTCATCGAGTATTCCGTGAAAGGAGGCTTTGGCAGCGGAAAAGCTAAATTTAGAAAAGAGATCCTGTCAGCTTTTCCATTATTTATTGCATTCCGCCCAAAATGAGCACACTTTTCGTAAATGAAAGAGTCAACACAAGCAAATGAATCAAAGGAAACTGGTCAACTCACCTGTCATTGAGTAGTATTCCGCGAAAGGAGGCCTCAGCGGCGCCGAAACGAAATAAGCCAGGCCAGGAGACGAAATATCCGAAACAGCTCATGCAAGAAGCAGTTCCAAAGAAGGAAGTTCCTCGCGCATGCACATATCCGAACACGGATCCGCGGACTGCATGCACTGCATGCAACACAATGTCTGCCGTGCATGTGCACAGCACGCGGCTACCAGGCGTTGGTAGATCTAATACCGAGTAGGCAAAGCCCGATTTTGCCAGGGAAGGTTCGATATTTTGCCGCAAAATTTTGCTGGCTCATCGTCGATATTTTGCTTTCATTTTGCCAGGCCACTCGATATTTTGCTCCCTTTTTGCTCCAAAATTTGTGTCACGTGTGAGAAAACTGACCGAAAGTGGGTTACGTGTTGGCAAAAATGAGAAAAAGTGAGTCACGTGTTGGTAAAACTGTGCCGAAATGAGTCATGTGCACCGTATATGTGTAAAATCTCCCAATTCCCAGCCAACACACCGATATTTTGCTCCATTTTGCCAGCAAATTCCCTTCCAAAATTCTTCGATATTTTGCTAGCAGAATTGCTAGCAAAATCGGGCTATGCCTAATACCGAGCACCTTACGTAGAGACTTACGTAGCCTAAGTGAAATACCGAGCACCTTACGTAGAAACTTACGTAGCATAGCGGTGTCGTTTTTCTTGCCATGTGAACACAATAATAGAAAAGCTGACAGGATCGCTTTTCTAAATGCGAAGGACTAAAGGGACCCTCACTTAATTTTTACCGACTTTCGCGGCAAAAAAACACATTTCGACACGCGTGTGTGCTGGACGTCTGCGCGTGCACGACAAGACGTGTGAGCTGGCTGACAAGTGAGAGCCAGGGAGTCGTCAAGTACCGGCGTTTGACGACTCCCGGCCTGGTGAGAGCATGCATGCATGCATGTCCAGCTGGCGGGAAAGGGAACCTAAAATTGTAGATCGATGGGTTGAATCTGAAATTGTGGATCTACACGAGGTTTGTTTTGATGTTCTGATACTTGTTGTAATGGCTAGTGATCTTGCAAACTGTTACTGTGACTTTTCCAAGTCCTACTGATATACCTTGTCAAATCAGATGCCCTGTAGTAGTCTTGGTGGAAGCAGACTGGAATGCGTTGAATTCGTAGCATCTGAAATTGAAATTTATTTTTTCTGGAGTGACA